TTTCTGGTCTTCTGGGCAGTGATGGTGACCTCTGGTGGTGTGTAGATGTTGGGGTGGAGAGTTATCTTTGTCATCGTCCGTGGGTGGAAGGCCAGGAATAAAATTACACCTAGTGGGCTGGTTGGATAAGGTTAAACAATTAATTAATGGTGTAGTGTTGATTAAATTGGATTTGAGAATTCACTAAGGTTACGTCGTGTATAGGTTCAGATCGTATTCTTTTTCATTTTCAAAACAAATGATCATATACAAATGTTATTTGAGCACATTAATATTTCAAATGAGTATAACGTCCAAAATGAATGAACAAACAAAAATGCATTTTTAAATTTTTTGATACTCATTTCGTAAGTTGTGTATGCTCATTTGGTGGTAATGGTATGCTCATTTTAAAATGTCATATCAATAATACATATTTTAAAATAATTATACTACATTAAATTCGTATATGCTCAATAAAATAGGTCAGATACTCATTAAAAGTACATTATTGCTCATTTAGCGGAAGCCATCCGTTTTCACTTAAATTACAAAAATGCCACCGAATTTTTTTGGCCTGAATCAGTTACTGGGCTGTCTCCCTTAGTTGTGTCGGGTGTACGTACACCCGGATGTACCATATAGGCACCCACTATACATCCCCGCGCAATACACGGGTTAAAAAATTAGAATAAAAAAATTGATTACTTATCCCTTTTCCCAAAAATATGACTAGCCTTTTGGTTAATTAATTTATCTATTTTTGTAATTTATATCAAATCTTTGCCCCAAGCCCCCCCACCCCACCTTCATAATCACGGTCCGATTCGTCTGCGGAAAAGTCAACGGATTTTTCTGATGACATATAAAAAAAATCGCCAAAAGTGGCATCGGAAAAATTTACGACGATCACAGTGACATGTTTCACGACTGCAAAAACATTCTTAACTAACATTAAAATATGACAATAACATCTAGAAAAATGTTGTTTGTATCCACCCTCATATACTCACCCTTATATTCACCTGTGAATTAACTGTTCATAGACAAAATTTCATAGCGTCACACATGTGATTATAAGAGTGAGTATATGTAGCAAAATTGTAACATGAAAATTTGTAAAAGTGACCATTTTTTGGAAATTGAATTGAATTTAGTCAAATTTAAGAAGAAATCCCAAAAAAACTTTTCTTCCATGCAATGATTAGGTTTAAGCTTTTGTGTCCACGCGAGTGGTATGACCATTTACGACTCTGTTCTTGACCGAGAAATAACTACATGTGAGTAATAAAGTTAGGTTGATCACGAATTGGAAATGCTTGAGTTAATTGGGATTTGGATTGAATATTGTTGACATTTGCATTACGTTGGGGATAAACTCTATTGCATTATTAGTGCAATGAACAATTAAAATATGTTCCTACCTTTCACCTTCATCCATCAGGATTTTCAATTCCACAAATTAAACATCTCATTCTCTCATCTATATAAACATCAGCAAGGTTCAGCATTATACATTGCATATTTGCATGCAATTAAGTCTATATTCTCAGAAGATCATCCCAAAGAAAGTACCTAATGACTTCAAAAGTAGCGTTCTTCCCTATACTAATCCTTTTGGCCGGAGGAGATCTTGTTTTTAGAACAAATGCCAGGCCTAGCCCGGACGATGCTGCTGATTTAGAGAAGATAGGTTTCCACGATGACCAGAAAACCTTCTTCCACTACAAATATGGGTTTCCTCCCTACTATGGGGGAGGTGTGGGAGGAGCAGGTGGAGGGTCTGGTTTTACGGGAGGCCCGGGTTTCGGTGGAGGCGGCGCTGGTTTCGGTGGCGGTTTGGGCGGCGGAGGCTTTCCTACACCCGACCTTGGCAGTGGGGGTCCATCTGGTTTTGAGCCCGGGGCTGGAAGCGGGTTCGGGTCAAGCTTTGGCGGGTTTGGCGGTGGCCCGTCGGGTTTCGGGGGCGGTGCTGGAGCTGGGTTCGGGTCTACAGTCGGAGGCCTCCCGGGAGGCTCATCGGGTTTTGTACCCGGCGGAGGCGGTGGTGGGATGGGGACTAACTTTGGAGGGTTTGTTGGAGGCTCTTCTTCACAGTTTGGGGGTGTAGGAGCAACCGAAGGTCCATTTGGTACAAGACTTGAAGCTGGGCTCGGCGGTGGCGCCACCCCTGCAGACGGCAACGCCAGCAGCGACACCGACAGTAAGACGCCCCCTGCCGCAGAAGTAATCGGCGATGGCATGTAGACTTCACCTATTGATTTATAGATATATAAATCTCCACATGCATGAGGACCACAGGATTTTCTAATTTGATTTGATCACATAACAAATAATTTGGAACAATATTAGTTATTTGTATTAGTACTGTAATAGGCAACCAACAACCAAGCGAATTTCAGTGTTGCTGTTTCTTTTTAAGCTGTTTATAATTAATGTAACTAGCTGGCTAGCTCTACATATATTATGCACTTCAATGAATGGAAGTTGAGTTTGTTACTCGAATAAGTTTTACTACTACTCAGTATATGTTTGTCCAATATAGATAATAGATGCAGACTATAGATGAAAGGCACATGAATCACCTACAACAGGGGTGTTATGCAAGAGGATAGTGATATTAGCTCGAAGGAAAGTGGGGAATTGAAAGAGGAGATCATACCCTGATATTTAAGATTTTCCCCATGTGTGTAAAGTTCAAGTCATGAAATTGAGAGTATTTTCTTAATCGATGACCCTCTAGCCCCTGAGGCTAGCACGAATGATCGTATAATCATTATTTTGTCACTGATGTGCTGTGACATATACTCCCTCCGTCCTGCAATGAACTTCTCACTTTCCGTTTTTGGATGTCCCAGAAACAAGTTCTCATTTCCTTAAATGACAAGTTAATCTACATCAAAACAGTGTCAAACAGTGCAAAACCGTGTCAAACAGTGTCGAAAGAGTGCAAACAGTGTCGAAACAGTGTCAAAACAGTAAAATTTACCTCATGGTAAGTTTATTTCCTTAACATGTGTGTAGGTCAAACTGTGAACCTAACAATGAATTGAGAGTGGGAACCTAACACATTGCTCGAGCGACTCAGGTTTATATCTTTTAAGGGTTTAGATGGATTGAGAGCTCATGATTAGTTCGATGAAATCGGGATCAAAATGATGCTAATTTAAAGGAAAAGGGGACTCCTGATTGAAGTGAAAAAAGTTAAAGTGATTCAAATATTATGTAGCCTTTCAAAGGTTGAATAAGAGCTTTCACATAATTGAAATAAAGAAATTACCCTTTTTAGGAGTCAAACATAATGGGAATGCAAAAGTAGGAGCGTACCTTTTAAATTCCCAATGTAAGAGCTTATATTTCAATTTTACCCTTCCTACATTAATAATTTACTTTTCCTCATTTTTCTGACTCAATCACGCACGCCTCCTGCACCGCCACTTCTCTTTCATCTCTGCATCTTCCTTCTTTCCCATCTTCACATCTACAACTATTCTCTCCAATGGATTTCAAAGGCGGAAAAAATACATTCCATCTCCACCAGCCAACTTCACATATACAACTCTACAAGTTCTCATAGATGATTAAGTTCTCTTCCGCAACGTCCCTCCGGCGCTGCGGCGGTCTTCTCCGGTAAGATATTCTCCTCCTAAGCTTCTCCTCCATCTTCTTCTCCCTCACTCTCGCTCCTCTATTTTATTCTCTTGATTTTTTTTCTATTTTCTATGGTTTCATTTGTTTAATTTTAAGATTCAAACATAAAATTGCTATTTTAGATCTGAAAAATTTTGGATCTTTTTTTTTCGGATTTAGATGTTTACAATAATTGAATCAATTTTTTTATCCTTCTAAATCTAAAAATTTCTATTCGAAACTCAAGATGGAAATATTAGTCTTTAAACCATAAATCAGTTGTGATGCCATGTTTTCATTCTTAAAAAACATATTTTGCCATTTCGTGCCATTATAAGGGTGGTGCCATTTTGACAATTAGTGCACTTATATTAGTTATAATGCCCTGTTTTCATTCTAAAAAATGAGAATTTGGCAATTAATGTTAAGACTGTGACTCAATTCTGTATTTTTGCAAGCATGAAATTTTGACAAAGATCTACATCAATCTCGTCGGAATCTCGCTGGAGGAGAAGGTGGCGCAAAGTGAGAAAGTTGCACTGCCGAATGAGGTGGCTGGCGGTGACCACGCCTGATGAGGCGGACTGCGACGGATGATTTCAGATGTGCCGGCGGCGATAATGATTACAGATGCGGTGGCTGGAGACAACATTTCAGGTGTTGCGGCTGGATTTGAATTGTGGTGGCGGCCGGCGGCCGACAACGTCATCGCCGGTGATGCATGTGAGCTGTCGTGCGATTATTCTGGGGCGCCACATCTTTGTTAAACTTGTACTCCGTATTATTGTTTTGATTTACGGCGGTATAATAATACTATGTATTATGTATTGATGATTAATAAAGAATTCAATCATTCATTAAGGGTAGTTTAGTCCATCTTTGTTTTTTTACTCCTACGCAACTTTATACTCCTACTTTTGCACTTTTTGTATGTTTCACTCCATTAATTGAAATACTATACGAAAACATCAAACAAAGTTAGACTTGCATTAAACGCCATGAAAAAGGGTGTAGAGACATCCAAAGATGATTTAGTTAACTAGTTTCACAGTTTCACTACATTTAGATTCACTTTAATATTCCCTAGAGATACTCTAGTTTGAGCTCAAATACGTTCTCTTTTACTTTATAGAACCTATGGATAGACTTCAATGCCCTTTCTTCATAGGCTGCAAGCCTGCAATACATATTAGGCTCTCACAAAAGAACCCGTTAATTAACTAGTCCAGTTGCAATTAATTAAAATTCAATGGGCCACTTAATAATCATAATAATTTAACCAATCAAACAACATGAGCCCACTCTTCAACCAAGACCCACTTATATATGACAAAGGTGGCCCAAAACAATTATACAGATTCTAATCGTTACATACTTATAGAGAATGGAACATTAACAGACAATATTTCATAAATATATATTTGTAACGGGTACAAGAATGGGAGTACGTCGCGCATGTTATATGGTATAAATATATGTCAATGGATCAAAAGATGAAATTCACATATATAGATGAAATACAACAAGATTTCAATGTGAAAACACACACAATATTTACACCTATAGTTTACCATCAATCCAAACACCTACACCATCACTAAGCTGCTTCAGCAAATCCAACCTTCAAGTTCCCATAGTCGAAAATTGTGTGGTAACGGCCCATAAAAACATCTCCCAATATCCTACACCATTGTCATTAAGATTATTAGCAAGTAATTCTGAGGTAATTGATTATTTAATTTGTTGATTAGTTGGGTAAATAGAAAAAGGGTGGCTGGAAGGTATATAACATACCAGAGAGGTCCACGAGGAGGGGGGACATCCAAAGCAGTAAAGCCACTTATGCATTGTGCTGCAGCACCCTCTCCCACCTTCAATATGTACTGTTCACATAACAAGTAGCTTAATCAGATATTTAGGAAAAGGGTCAGATAAGCCCTCGAACTTAAGTAAAAAAGTCAAATAAGCCCTTATATAGGAGGCTCTGTCCGGTCGTCACCATTTCGGGCGGTTCCGGTGGAATTTTTTGATGAAATTTTTTCAGCATTGTTTACTCATACCAAATTCCAGCTAAAACTTCAAAAGGGAAGGCATTCAAATGAATTCTTGAAGATAACTGCGCAGTTAAAAACGCAGTTATCTTCAAGAATTCATTTGAATGCCTTTCCGATTGAATTGTTAGCTGAAATTTGGTATGAGTAAACTAGACTTAATGAATAAGATGCTCAAAAAATTTCATCAAAACAATCAATTGGGAACTGCCCCAAACGGCGACGACCGGACAGAGCCTCCTAATAAGGGCTTATTTGATCTTTTTACGTAAGTTCGAGGGCCTATTTGACCATTTTCCCCAAATATTTATTTATTAAAACTTTAGATTATATAAGAAATGAAAGGTCATATATAGAGAAAATGCATGCACAATTGTATACAATTCTATTACTATGTCGTATTTTATTGAGAGATCAAGGACTTGACATTGATTATGCATATGATCAGCGGCGGACACAAAAGGGGAAAGTGGAGGCCACCCCCAATTTTTTTGAGTAGGTATAGTTCCAAAAGTTTAATACAGAGTAAATATGTATGATTAGTATGTATAATGTTACAGTATCATCCCTTTAATCGGGAATTTCTGCGTTTGCCACTCTGCCAATGCAGATGATAATATATGATGACAGTATGATTCTATTGTGGGCTGCCTTCAACAATAAAGACATCAAGATATTGCATACAATTCTCATGCATCATGGAACCAAACAAGAAACTAAAGAAATCATACCTCATCCGCAGAGAGATCGAAGACCTTTCCACCAATGGAGAAGGAAACAGTAGGCATGGAGGAAAGCCTTTCACAGTCAACACCTGATTCTCCCATTGGGCTTGGTAGCCGATCACATAGCTGTATTTTCATTATTAATGAGGTTAAATCCGAAAATGCAAAGATCTTATATGTTGTTTAGTTATTTTATGTTTAGCCGATGTGGAACGATCTAGGGGGATATATGGTGTCAATAAAAAAAACCATAACTGAACGTGCTCTATTACCTTAATGAAACTTGGAGCTCCATCCACCAAGGCAAATCTCAAACATATGGAGGAGTAATTCATGATCTTATATGTTGGACTGTACGTTGTTATATTACTTTATATTTGATCAATGTGGGATAAACTCGACATCATTTGTTCGGTTCCTTATGACAGAAAGTACTCATTCTTAGTCGTAATAGAAATCGGCTATAGTGTAGCTCGGTTGGGTAGTTATTTACGGGCTAGTGATCCATGGTTAATGCTAAATAATAAAGAAAATAAAGAAAAACCAGGTTCTTAAACATATCTTCAGTAAAAGTGGTTACACTTATCAAACTTTTATGGATACAGTGTATAATTGCAAAACCTGCTATATGTTCAACGCATACTGCGCGAAATGAGAACATACAAAATACGGTAGGTAATTGGCATGGTAGGATCCTAATAAAGAGATTTTTTTACCTCACTGACGTAAGACAAAATGTTGTCTTGAGTCTGGTTTTGACTGAGTTGGTTCTGCATCCAAACAACAGCCATTTCACAAGCAGAACACCTTGCATCATGCAATCCGCCCAGTATTCCATCATTCTCATCCACTACACTTTCAATTTCCATACTGCCCTCAAACAAGAGAGTTCAACAAATAAATATATAAATATGCATGTGAAGTTTATGAACAGCACAACAACCACACATGGGACAGGAATGAAACCAAACCTGACACCGCGATTCCCGTCAAAGGCACATAGCCCAATTTGTGAGCAAATCTTCTTTGGGCGTGCCTGCGAAATCATCATCCACTTCAATAAATTATTAGTAAAGTGTGCAAATATTTAGCAAAAGTGGTAAGTGTATGATAAGATATACCTGCATTACAAGCAAATCTAACATTTTTTGTCCATAATTATCAACTACAGCTTTGCATTCTTTGCTGACTACTCCCTCAGCTCCAATGGCATGATTGATCATTGTTATAATAGACTGCACATCAACAATAGGAAAATGGTTGCCAGAAGTAAGCACCAAATATACTTTTCAAACTGCCAATAGCATAACCGTGATGAATTCAGAAAACAAGTTTAACTTTTATAATTGTATTATAGTGACTACCTAAGAGCAGTCTGAGAAAAAAACAGCTGATATTAAGGATAAATATAGAGAATTTCCATTAAAAAGAAGAAGATGCTTATATGTAGAACTAAAGTAGCCAATTTCAATATAAAATAGAATTTCAACCAGGTTTAGACATTAAGGGTATGTTTTTTTTTATAAAACATTAGGGGTATGTTTTAATTAACCAGTTTTGGGATTTCATGTTGAGTTCTCCCTCCTAAATCACAATAGGTAGCGATGTTATTTTCTTGTGTTTGATTTGTTTTAACTTTATGATCAAATTTCTTTTAAAGAGAAATAAAATGACTACCGTTGGACCAGCTACAAGAGAAGTCCCAGAATCTGCAATTGCTGAACATCCTTTGTCACAGTACCCTACAGATAATATGTAAATGCCGTTAAGCTAAGGAATACATTTATTGGTCATCGATCCTATCCTACAATTGGAACAGGGGAAAGAGGAAAGGAAGAAAGAAAGAAAGGAAAGGAAAGAACATATATACCAGTAGGTTTGCCACCGATTAGAACATCACCCATATCAAATTGCCAATAACCTTTCTTTGACACTGGAACATATGTGTGTTGCCCCTTATAGTGTTTCGGGTCAGCGCCACCGAACACAATCTCTCCCCCTTCTTCTGCTCCAACCTTTCGGTTTAGCCAAAATGAGAACACAGGGTCCTTAACTAAACCTTGCTTGACCATGTTATACCTGTCAATAATTGGCAACATATATACTCCGAATTGGAATGCATACTAATTTCTTACTCAAAATATATCAAAAATCCCACTAGTTTTTGCTCATCATACCAAACAGGAACGGAATCTCCAACTGAGATCTCCTGGAATCCAAGACCCAATATTCCATCAAACTTTGCCACTAAAAAGGTCACACCTGGCTCACTTGTTGCCTCAATAAATTCCTGCATCATGTCATTCCTACTGTCAGGTTTGTGACATTTGAAACATTAAGACCTAGAAATCCAACAGTCCCAAATTTACCTGATTTTTAACAAGAAGATCACCAACTTTAACGTGATCTTGACTGACAAAACCAGCTATTTGTCCAGTTCCATAATGAATTTCAGCATGTTTCCCTATGAAGCAGCAGTTGGATATTCACAACAAAGTTAAGGAGAATTACTTATGACAGGTTGGGTATATTAAGTTAATCCACATTGGTATAATATAAAGATAGAAACTATGGGCTACTCCTAAGAATCCCAAGTCCTAATACGATATCAAGTCACTTAAGTTAAAATAAGTGATTAAATCCTAATAAATCTCAACAACTAGCACAGACAATATTGGTTTGCTACATTAAGCCATCATTTTGAGGTGAGAAATCTATTTAATCCCTTACAGGACAAGTATATTGATACAAACCAACGTGTAAGCAATTGTGCTACTCGCACTATTTGGCTAAATGATTGAATCTGCTTTTTAATAAACAACATTCAACTTTCAAAAAAATAAATAAACAACATCCAAGAAAAATTTGTCTCAGGAAAATATTTTACTGAGCATGAGATAAACACATACCATTCGGCTGGTATGTACTGGATTGGCTAGAAGAGTACTTTGAGTGGAACAAACACGAGACCTGCAACAACAACAAGAAGAAAAACATAAGCATACGTTAGCAATTCAATGTCCTGAGCAGACGGTATTGTGGGGATTAATCTGGATGGTGAGTTGTTGTCACGAAGTGCTTACCGACATAAAACACTTTGAGGAGGGAACCCATAAGTTAGAGCTTCCAGTATCAAAGATAACAGTAAACTTCTGAGGAGGAGTTCCAACACCAATCTCACCAAAGTATTGTGCATCCATGTAATTCTTCAGTGCCACAATGTCTGTTTTATCACCTGCATCATGACCACCGACGAAGTTATACTTTCTTGCCGACCCCCTCAGAGAGTCTCCCGCTTTGTTCTCGAGCTGTGAGGCAATCCTATTGTTCTTATCAATTTTCACCTTTTTCAACCCAATTCGGACAAACCAGTCATTTGATTCGGAGAAGACGAGTGGAAAGAGAAGGGCCGAAAGGAACAGAGTGGCCAGTAAGGGTTTCACTCCCATATCTTTTACCTGTATACAATTCAAGATATTCAGAACTATACCCAAAACTGCCACAAAGTCAGAAACAGTTACTCACAGAAATGCAAGTATTCAAATTTCAAAGTGGCATGCATGCAACATTGAAACTATTCATGCTGTAGAAGGTTCAAAGATCACAACTTTTTCTTTTTAAAATCAAGAATCGATCAATAGATCACTGATTCTAGTTGTGCGAGCATAATTTAACAAATAACAAAGTTACACGGAAAAGGAACCAAAATGAGCAACGTACGAGTTACAAGAACTTAGAGAATCGTGAAGCAGAAGAGGAAGTAATCTATTTAGAGAATATGAACTGCTGTTCATAAATGGAGTTGAGTGTGTGTTTATATAGACTACCAAATAATTGAACTAAACAAACAAATATATAAACAAAATATATAAAAGAGAAAATTGTTGAAAATGAAGTTACTAATACTATACGCTTAATTGGCCGGTCTGGTGAATTATGAGATGGGAGGGTCTATAACTTTTGGTCTTTTGGATCCTCTTAATAATTAATTAAATCTTGGCCGGCCATTCTTAAAAAGATTATAAATTAAGGTGGAAAAAACAAGAGAGCATGATGCGGATAAGCATGGGAAATGGGGGAGGGAAAGGCGTAACCGAATCCTTGCGTGTGCGAAGTAGGCCTAGCGTGACCCTTGCACGCATCAATTGCTTCCAAAGCACGGAGGTGTTAAACCTGTACGTTACCCCGGCCTTTTTCTCTTTATGCTTCCTATTAATTTTCTTACTTATACTCTCTTCCTCGATTGTCTTATATGAATTTAGCAAAAATTGTGTGATTCTAAATCATTTTTTACTTGTTTTCTTACTTTATCTATTTACTATCAACCACATAAATCCACGTTTATCGGTAAATTTATATGGTACACGCGGGGTGTACATATTCACCCGATATTTTTGTAATTGTTTATATCTTGGATGGCTATAATGAGATCATAACTTCTTCATCAGTATTCTTCGCTGCCTGCGCAACAGTGCTCTCTTTTCCCACCTACGTACCACTGCTAGGTTTCAAATGTAAAATCGAGGATCCAAAAGTTATAGACCCTCCCATCGAGGTCTCGGTTTCAAATGTAAAATCGAGGCCCCACATTAATATAAAAAAGTATCAAAAAAATTTCAATCCAAATACATATACTTAAATTAATTGAATTAATATTTGATTTAAAGCAACACAACTCATTATTCAAGCAATTTGAGTACAGAAAACTAAAACGACCAACGAAAAAAATGGTGAATCTATATTTTTCTTCCTCACTAACTGTGTTTTACTGATCAATATTAATATATGTAGTATAATATTACGGAGTATTATATAATACTAATAAAATTTTGAAATTTAGGGCCCCCGTAAATTTAGGGGCCCTGTTCTGGATAACCTATTGAACTCCCTAAAAACGGTCCTGTTATTTTTTTTCATTCATACATACGTTGATCATTCCTTCTTTTTGATTATTTTCTCTTTTTCTATAACTTAAGTATTTCTTTAAATTGTGCATTATAAAATATTTTGGGTATCGATGTTTTTTTCCTATTTTACTTTTAAAATGAATATTTAAGAGTTTTTTTAAAAAATACGTAGTATTTATTTTAATCATAAATATGTAATTGTTTCAATGTTAAAAAATGTAATAAAGTTTGTGTGTTAATTATTTTTATATAATTGTGTGCTCATTATTAATTAACATGAGTTTTGTGTTATACTGAAATGAGTATAGTGTAAACAATAAAAGTGCATGAGTAAACATTATAAAAAGAATTGATTAGTTTTGTAACTCAAGAAATATATTGATAGGGCTTAATTAAGGAATTTTGAATTACTTTTCTTGTTAAAATATTTATGTTTCCGATTGTTAAAACAAGCAATATATATTCAGTACATGAAGTTAGTTATATTAATTTGATTTTGGTTAAACTAAAATGAGTATAATGCTTAATTATAATAAATGTTCATGGGTGAAAGATTATAAAATGAGTTTTTCGCTATAACCAAATGAGTGTAATATTTACACAGAATGTACATCAATATAACGCTTTGAGATTAACACTATTACGACTGACTAATCAATGATGTTGTTTTGAAGCTTAATATGTCTTGAAATTTTTATGCACAATTGCAGAGCTCCAGTGTTCAATAGAGGAGACTTTATGATCAATGAAAATGTTTTTATGGTCAACGAGCAAAACTTACGATTTTCATTTGAATGCATATTTCAAAAGTTTAATATTAATCTAGATTCATATATTGGAATCTATAGGAGTTGATTATAGATATAATTTAACAAATTGTCATGAAATAAAAAATAAGAAAAAGAAAATGAATCATAAGTTATGAAGCAGAAATCACGATACTCAATATTAGACTTTTAATACTCAACAAAATAGGATGGATGGTCATTAAAAGATCATTAATACTCATTTTACAGAAACTATGATTTTCATCTCGATATATGAGGTTTGATTCTTAATGAAAATGTCGTGATGTTCAACTAACAAACTTTTTGATTTTCATATCAATGCGCATTTCGTAAGTTACATATGCTCATTTGGTACTGATGTTATGCTCATTTTTAAAATGCCGTATCAATGTATATTTCAAAAGTATCATATGACATTATACTCGCATATTGAAACTAATAGGAGTGTATTATGGATATAATTAATAAGGGCATGTTTACTAACAGAATATTTTCTTGTTTTTTACTTCTGTTTTTTGTTCTCCAATTTTCTGTTTTTATTTTTCAGTTTTTCTATCTCCAGTTTTCTGTTTCTATTTTCTAGTTTTCCATTTTCAAATCTGAAAACATGTTCATCCATTTTTTCACCCAGTTCTGTGATCATCTAGAAGACTCACACGTTTACGTCACGGGGTACTAAATGGTGCTTATTAAGACTCGCGTTAATAAGTGATGCATAAAATAAACAATGTTATAAGATCATGTTTACTTCAAAAGGTTTAAAACACCGTTTAACATTAAAATGTCCAGAATAACCCTATATATATATAGACACACAAACATTCATGAACACAAATATATAATATAATATGTGGGGTCGATCACCTCGTACGTGTACCCATACTCCTAACCCCTACCCTGCCCCTATACCTCGTACCCCCACCTTACACCCTACACCCAATTCCACACCCTTGACCCCTACCCCTACCCTTACCACGATCTTACAATCTACACATACTCCCCTAAAACACTTCTGACCCACCCATACCTACTCGTAGGGGTCGGGGTAGGGAAGGAAGGTATGGGTGGGGGTGGGTGGGGTGGGGTAAGAGGTATGGTCGGGGTGGAGTGGTAAGGTCTAGGGGTACGAGGTTGGGTGGGGTAGTGGGTGGGTTAGGGTGGTGGTTAGGGGTAAGGGTGGGGGTAGTGAGTAGGGTTGGGGTTAGGTAGGGGTAGGGTAGGGAGTTAGGATAGGATGGCGGTAGGGTGGGGCCGGGATCAGGGTGGGGCCTAGGAAAGGGAAGGGGTGGGGTGGGGGGTAGGATGGCAGTAGGGTGGGGGGTAGGATGTCGGTATGGTGGGACCGGGATCAGGGTGGGGCCTAGGAGGGGGAAGGGGTGGGGTGGGGGTAGGATGGTGGTGAGGGTAGGATGGTAGTAGGGTGGGGGTAGGATGGTGGTACGAGGGTGGGGCCGAGGTAAGGGGCATGTGGGAAGGGGTAAGGGGTAATATACGAGGTGGGAATAGGGTAGGGTGGGTCGGGGTGGGGTTGAGGTCGTAGGGGTGGCGGTAGGGTAAGATGGATCGGGGTGGGACCGAGGTAGGGGCATGTGGTAGGGGGTGGGGGTAGGGTCATTGTAGGGAAAAGGGGTATGCAGGGCGGGGGTTGGATGGGTTAGGGTAGGGTTGGGTAGGTGTAAGTGGTAAGGTACGAGGATGGATGCACTTGTAAGGAATATTTGTAATTAGATTTTGATGATGCTATATTTATTAGGACTTTAGAGTACCCCTCTTTAGATTTAATGTATTAGAATTCTTTCCTTTGTAAAAGTTCTTAGTATAATCGACTACCAGAAGGCCTCCAGAGCAGAAGACCTCTTGACAGAAGACCTTTTGTTCTCTGCCTTAGAACAGAAGACCTCAGGGTCTCTGTTAGCCTTTACTCTGACAGAAACCCTCCTGGTTCTCTGTCGGATATCTCTTCCACAGAAGTGCTCAAGACCTTCTCAGATCAACTCTCTGTTAAAGACACCAGAAGGCCTGACACTTGGAAGAATTCCACCAAGCCGGGAAACCAACTGAAAGATTCCTTCAACGACTAAGAGTCTTGAACGGAAAAGCTACAGTACGCGCATTAAATGCACATTTAATGCTTCCCGTACTTTGTAGAGTAATTGCAGATGATTGGCCGCTATTGTCAGGATTACTTTATCCCAAAATAGTAACCCGCCAACTTTACCGGGTCCTACCGGTCAAGTCAACTGCCCGCTCATTTAATGCAGTTGTCCTCCTTCTCCTCCAACGGGAAGACAACCTCAGTTTAAAAGATACACTACGAAGAACAACCGAATAACTTTGTTATAACTTTTGCTACAACTCTGCACATACAAGAGATTCAAACGCTACAAAGCAAAAAGCCTCCTTGAGATTAAATCTTCATCATCCTCTTTAAGAGAAGGCAGAAGTTGGAAAAATCCTTATTTCCAACTCAAGCAAAGTCCCAAGTGTTCTTCAACTCTTCAAGCTCATCACATGCAAACTCTTTGTAATGAAGCAAGTTGGAGGAACCTCTGTTCTAAATAGAACCTCTTCTTTCACAAGAAGGACGTCCAAGTACCTGGAGCAGTGAAGTAGTAATACTTCTGGAAAGCTCAGTGAAAGGACCAGTCTTAGGGAAGCCGGAAGTGCATCCAAGAAGACATCTACACTTGAAGAAGACGTGGAGAGCTTCTTAAGTGATAGGGCTAAGGCATTGTAAACGGACGTTTTTACAAGCTTAGTGGAACAGTGGACTAGAGGAACAAGTTGTTCCTTGAACCACTATAAAAAACCCTGGTGTCATTTACTTACTGCATTACATTCATTGTTTTTATTTGAACTGTTTAACTCCAAAGACTTGGTATCTGTGTTCAGCAGAACTTGTCTTGTGAGTTAACAGAAGGCCTACTGCCTTTGCTTCTCTGAGGCTACTAACAGAACTCCCTACCAGAACCCCATCCGCTGCCAGTCTGTTCTGCCAACAGAACAGGCTATTCTGTTAAATCTGGTACTTAGCTTGAAAAAGTTAAAAACTAATACAGTCTATTCACCCCTCCCTCTAGACTGTATCCAGT